GGAAGAAGATCATTTAACCTATTGACCTTAACTCAGTACTACTGAGGTTTTTATTAAAGAAAGAAAAATTACTTTTAGGTTTTATAGAAGAATTTTCTTTACATTTACCCTTTTTTCTATGCACACCCCTGAAAATTGTTGGAGTGGTCAACATAAGGATATTACAGCGTGAGATGAAAAGGGTTTTCTCACATGAATCTTTGCAAGGGATTTTAGTGCTACAGAACTCTGCTCTGGCCATCAAATATGCTGAAGAACATAGGAAGATTCCTTTAGAACAGAGCATATGGATGAATAACTAAGGCTGTATGAGCTTGTGATTAATTTCAGACATGGTATCTTTATAACAAGTACAGTGTCCAAAATAATAAATAATCTCTTACACCACTTCTGGGACATGCATAATACTTTTTTAGTGTTGTGACATAATGGTAACATTCTAGTGCAGTGTTTGGTTTTCCTTCATGTTCACTTTAAATCTGAAATTATCCATCTAGTGACGTCTAGTGTACTCTTATGAATATGCAAAGAAAATTAAGAAAAGGAGGTTACATAAATTGTGCTTGACCCAGATACTGTTTTCTTAAGATACTTCATAACCTTGATGCAGAGAATGTTGGCAGTTTTATCTTGTAAATTACAGAAGTGAATTGCTTTTAAGTCTTAGTGTATCAGATCAGTGGTGGGCAAAGTCAAAGGTGCTGCCACAGGACTGAGGGTGTGGAGAGACTCAATAAGGGAAAAAGTGAAATGGGGTATAGATACACTAGAAAGGTATTTTGAAGGAGGAATATAAAAGACTGAAGTGGAGGAGGCTGGAATACACATTGCAAACAAAGAAATGTGGAGAATGCAAAAAGAATAGACAAGTTGGGCAAAAGTAGAGTAACATATTTTCATCTCTGCTATTGTTGCAGCAGGTAACTGCTTATACGAGGCTACAGTGGTGGTGGGCAAGTGTCTAAAAAGTGTTCATATGTCAAGACAGGGAAAGACAAATGTCACAGAATCCAGAAATCTGGGCCCCGTGTGATTACAGTAAACCAGCTTTTAATTAACATTTAAAATGTAACTCAGGACCAGTTACAAATACAAAAGCATAAGTAGTTATTCCAGTATAAACAGGAACGTTGTTTCTTAGGTCTGCTGAAGTAGCATGTCAGATTTAAAACTATGAACATTGAAGTATTGCCAAAAAAAAAAAGTGAACTTTCTTTTCATCCTTCAAGTAGATAATTCTTTTGACGGGGGGGGGCGGGGGAAAAATAGTATCACCATTCTTTTGCCAGTGCTTCCACCATTCAGAACTGAGCATTGCCTGCTTCTCCATTTCTGGCTGTAGACTTGGACTTTTCACGATTCTTAATTAACATTGATCAGATCTTAAGAGCTTCTGATATGTCAAAACATTTCAGTAGAATGATTTTTTTACATGGATTTGAATGTCTCATGCTTCTGGGGTTGCACTGAAGTGGCAAAATCTGCTCTGAAGGGTAAGAAATGCTAAGAACAAGATGCCTGTCTCATTGAGTTCTAATCTTTGATTATGGGGTTTCTTATATATTTATAAAAGATGTAAAATAGTTGTCATGCCTGGTTTTTAGTGGCACATTTTAGGAGTTACCTCTGAGACCTCCAGCCTCATACAGTTTAAAGCTTCTGTCTATACCTGCCAGCTGTGCAGTCACAGCATGGGAATCAGCTTAACATTATAGCAAAAGAGACGCTGAGGGACTCATTAGATGAACTGCAAAATTAATTACTTGGAAAGAGATGTAAGCAAAGCTTTAGTAAACCACTGTGAAGATCAGAGTGTGGTGATGTGGGGAAAAGCAGTCTGGCTGTGGCAGTGTGGAATATTTGTTTGGAGCAGGAAAAGATCTAAGATGTTGGGCCCAGTCAGTGGCCACCTGTCTGACCATGTGCTGCTGCAGAGCCAGAACTGGTTGGGCTTGAAAATACATCAAAATTCCTTCCACTTCCCTGTGTAGGCAAAAGCCTGCACTGTGGAGAACTACTTATATCTGTCAGTCGTTTTGGGAACAGCAGACTGACTGCTTCCCCAACAGTTTGAAAACCTCTACGTCCACATAATTTTATTTTTGGGAGAGCTGAGGTACTGTCTGATACATGGGAAACGCTGACAAAACAGGGCTTTGGCATGAGCCTGCACAATTCCTCCCTAGGATATTTGGGTTGCATGTTCTTATAGACCCTAATACAAAGAAACTTTTGAAACAATCTTACTTAGGAGATGAAAAAACTGGATACTATTGCACTAGAGCAGTACTAGCTTACCCTAAAAAAAAAAGTTAACACTCTTACTTAAATATTATATATGCATGGTGGCTGCACAGCCTGTGGTAACTACAGTCTGCTCTAATTTCCTGATCAAGCAGCAGAGAAATTCACAAGCTGAGACTAAGTGGGAATTAAAAGAGAAAAACTTCCTGGCTTGTGCAGATGCAATTACCTTTTGCTTTGTTTATGAAGTCAGAAATGACAAATAGTTTCTGATGAAATATGTATGGGGCAGCATCTGTTCTACTGTAGGGTATTGCAAGAACTGTAAAACATTGTCAAGCTGATTGGAAATCCAACGTTTCCTTTGCAACTTCCCCTGTTATCAATCTTGTGAGCAGTTAATAGACCTCAGCCCTCAGACTCTCAAGGCTTGTCTCATAACAGTGACCGATAGGCTGGGGACTAATATTGTGTGCCTTGAGAAATCGCCTCCTTTCTCTGAGAACCTTGACAAAGAAATTGGACTCTTTAAACCACTTAAGGGGGTGATCAAAACTGTCCAGCTTGAACTGGAGGGGTTTTTTTTGACAGTTCTTGGAACAGGCCCATAAAGGAGAGTTCCATTGCTGAGCTACTGCTCATAATCATGAAAGATCTTGTCATGGTACGAGTTTCCTTTGCCATAATGGGTTATGGACAAGCACGAGACCAGTCATAAAGTGTTGCCATCAAATTTTTAGGATGAATGTCACAAGTAGAGGGCACATTTATTGCTGGTGTTGAGCAAGAATGCTTGAGGACTGGGTAAGATACTATCTACTGAGGTCTGTTGTAAATAAAAAGTGTGTTTATGTTTTGGCAATAATTAGCCTTTTTGTTTGATGTATGAGTTGATGACTCAATTTAAGTAAGCTACCAAAGCTTTAGATACTGAAATTATTTCCTTTCAAGCCAGTGATCTGAGGCTCAGGGGAAGCAAGCTCTCACAAGGAAGAATGAAAAGGGCCATGTGATTTTTTAAAAAATAATATTTTAGTAGAGGTCTCACTGAAGGAAGGCAGGGTGCTGACAGGATACAGCACAGATCCATGACTTTTGCTTGTAGTTCTACCTCAGTCCTGTTTAGGAGAGAGTTTTCCAGTTAGTTCACACACACACACTCCCCAAACTTAGAAGGGATTTTACAGAGACCTAAAAACCCAACAATTAGAAAAGCCACTTATTAGCCCTTGAAAGGTGGGTTGGTTGGTGGGGCTGGGTTTTATTCGAAGTAAATTAATGCTGAAAGAAGCCTAGAAGCAAGGGGCTGGGCATAAAGAATTAACTCTGTCACTGCTCTTGACTTTTGCTCTACCAGCTTGGTTTTCTCAGGATTTTAGCTGCTTGGCTTGACAGGAGAATTCATGCAACTCTTTTTGATGCTTTTGGTTTTCCAATGCTTTTAGATTTATAGGTGATGTTGAGCCCTGACAATAGGAATCCAGCCTCCTGAACTGGAATGCTCTTAGCTTCTAAAAAATCTGCTTTCTTCAATCAAAGTCATAAATACCATGATGTTGCTTCTGTCAAATCTCTTTATTGCACAGCCATGTGGGGAAGAGATTACATTTTTTTTTTCTCAGCCACCACGATAAACTTTTGATATGGAGTTGTGAGAAGAGGTAGAGGAAAGATGCCACTAAGAGAAGGGAAGACAAATGGAAAATCGGGGTGCTGTCTAGAAACACATTTACTTTGCTATATCTGTGTCATCCAGCTTAAGAACTGCATTCACTTAAAAAAAAAAAAAAGAAAAAAAAGAAAAATCCAAACCTGCCATACTCTTCAGTAGCAGTCCATCTTCCTAAACGCTTTTGTAAGCTGCAACACTGAAAAACATAACCATTTGCTATTTTTTCCCAGTTGGTCAGAATTTTAAAAAAAAAACAACCAAACAAACAAAAACACAGGCTCTGCAAAATCTTGTATAATGTTACCAAAACTTCCAAACTCTATTTTGGCTGTCAGCTCAAAATGTTGAACCACCCAGGGGTGCCTGAGCTCCTCTTAGAGTGGTTGCAATCACCTGTGACTGTTGAGAATTACAGGAATACCAGATGTGTTACTCTCAGAACTGAGCCTAGATGTTCACTCACAGGGCCTGACAGACCATGTGAATTTGCAGGAGTTGTTGAGTCTCTGGATAAATGTTCCTGGTATGTCATCACTTCTGATTTAAAGCACTTTCTGTATGGGAGAACAGAGGAGGGGCAAGTTCTGCCTGGCACCTTTCTGTCATTGTTATTAAGAGACCAGAGAAAAAAATTTATGAAAGTACATAGTAACACTAGTACCTACAAAATGTGATTTGAGGACATAAATATAAACCTAAAATGACATTACTAAAAAAACCAAACCAAACCACCCCCACCATAAAGCAACTTGATGTTTTTATAGGAATTGTATTAACTGATATCTTTGCATTCCTCTCTTTAATTGTGGCAGAATAAAAATTAGCAAAATTTGAGTACGGGCATAAAACTTGTCTATTCAAAAGTATTGCACAGAGAAATAAAACACACACACACCTGGCCCAGACGTGTACTGATGGTAAATTCATACAAAGGCCTTGCTTTAGATTCACTCCATGTTATGATGGC